AGTTTTTGTATGTGAAGTTTTTTTTTAATGTTTAATTGAAATTTTTTCAATAAAAAATTTCTAAAAATTTTGAAATGTCAACTAACTTCATTTTCATAAAAAATTGTCAATTGATGGCTAAATTTAATGTCATGTTCCAAAAATTAATTTTTTAGTTTATAATATAACTCTAAAATTATCGAAGTCGGCTATTTTTAGTACCGGGAATATCAATATTTATTCTCAGCGAAAATTGGTTGAATTTGTCACTAAAAATAAATATGTCTATAATTAGAATAGTATAAATAACTTTTTATATTCATAATTAAATAAACAACTTACATCTTGTTTATATTCGTGATATCTACTATTTTTTTGATACATAAAATAAACTTCCTTAATTTTTAACGTAAAAACAATAAATAATACCAACGTACACAATAAAATTAATACATTTATTATTCTGACATTGCGGAATATTATCATTACTTTATTTTTAATTATTAATTAAATATTCAATTAAAAGTATTTTGTTTTTAAAACTAGAGGTTAGAAAAATGTATGGGTTTTTTTTTGACGGCGCATGTGCAGTCAGTCGCGGGAAAATCTAAATTATTACAATGATGATAAACATGACTGAGATCATATTTTATTGATAATTATAAATATAACAAAGTTATAAAAATGCTATGTATAAAAATTTTAATAAGAATAATAATAATAAATTACTGACTATGTTGTTGAGTGATTTGTATTCCACCATAAGAAGTTTCTAAGTTTTTCAATGGACGTGATTCATCCTAAAATCAAGGTAAAGGTAAATTAAAAACTCGATTTAATATTAAATAAATATATAATTATATAGTAAGGATTTTTAAATAACTACACAGTTATTTTTAAATTAAGAAAAATTATTTCACTGATTATGTACAATTTTTTTTTTTTTATAATTACTAACGGAATTAAAAATTTCGTATTTAGTACGTAAAAACAAAAATTTGTTCGACAAATTGGTAATAATACATACGATATACAATTACAATTATTGCTATGAAAGATATATAAAAATTTTTAAGGCCTTTGGATCTATAAAAATTCTATAATACGATTAAATATAGCCTGTTACTGTAAAAATGCTTAAAAAACTGTTTACAAATGTATTTGTTAATATTTATACTTATAAAATTTATTATTATCATTATTATTATTATGTGTATATTGATATAAATAATTGAAAAAAGATGTTCTGCATCACTGCATTAAAGCACAAACATTATTGCCTTGGTTATTTAAATTCACTTGTTTACTTTTTTCAGATGTGATTTAACTTATTTATAAAATCCGACGTTATTTTAAAATTCTATAAATTTTAACAAAAATTACTAGACAGTACGGCTAATAATAACATATTTGAAATAAATAATTCTAAATTGATCTAATACCATCATTAAAACTATAATACTCTTTCGTAATTGTTTTTCTAAAACAAATTACTTTAAATAAAAATACATATACTATAAAATAATTGTTAAATAAAAATCTACTGTCGATAAACTATATACTCTAGTATCTAGTTAAAAAAAAATTAATTACTCGTATAAATTATATACAATTAAAAATATCAAACCCAGATCCAGCCAAATGTTAAAATACAATAAAAACAATTAAACATAACTACACTAATTTTGACGTTTAAACAGTAATTAAAATACAATAAATTTTGCGTAGACAAAACGAAATGAAAGAATTGCAGATAAAAAGCTTATAAGCGATAAAAAAAAAAAAGTAAAATAAATAAAATAAGGTTCGTGCGTTTTCTTGAGTACGATGAGTAGTAAGAAGCGGCAGCAACAGCTGTATGAAATTGTTGACGTGACGATAAAGTAGCACCAGGCCAGTCACCAAATTTTCCCCCAGGTTCGAATAATCATCGTTGTAATTCAAATACCGGACAATAATTGAAGATTTTATTAGCGAACTGGAGGAAGACAGCACAGCGTCTAGGCGGAAGCCAGAGCAGTCACGTTGATATTCTGATATATTTGACAAGCTTAGAGCAAAGTCTGCTGTTTAGATACTTATTGATATACATCAACGGACGTGATCGGCACTGCCGTTATTCACCTGCATTGCCGTTTCAGCATCGTACTCCATTGCACGCGACTTATCACCGTGACCGGCATTTGTTATCCCAGATTCTCGTCTCTCCTTGAATAAATCCGCTATGCCAAATACCTGAAATAAATTATTCATTAGTTTATTTAATTAATCTTTGAATAAATCTATATTATTAAGAGAATAAGCAAAATTTTGTGGCCAGTGTATTTATATGATAAAATGGGTTTTTATGGTTAAATTTGGTATCATTGAAAAAGTCTTGACCTGGAGTTGTGCCTTTTCATGGTTTCATATCATTTTCATCAATAGTCAATTTATGATGATAAGTATTTAGGCTGCATTCGAAAATGCTCTATCTTAAAATACATAATTAAGAAATGACCTTGTATCTTGTGAACTATTGACATTTTTAAAGATATAAGCTCATCCCGATGTTACATTCATCAAGACTTTTCATTTGAGTACCCACATCAATTTTTCATATATTTATATATATTATATATGAAAAATATATCAAAATGCATGTGGGTACTCAAATGAAAGCTCTTGATGAGTGTAACATCGGAATGAGCTTATATCTTCAAAAACGTCAATAGTTAAAAAAGTACAGTGCAATTTAACAAAAGTCATTATTTAATAAAGCAAAATTTTATTTATTTATATTTCACAAGTCACGGCAGTCACATAGTGACTGCAAGGTTGCTAGTAATTATTAAACTTATTAATTGTTCACAGGATCTATTTGGACTCAAAGTTGTTATTCAGGGCTTATAAAATAAAGTTGTTATAAAATATATCTATATATTTCATATATATATATATATATAAATATACTGGCAATAATAATTTTATCTTGGATAAAATTTTATCTCGGATTGAAAAACTGGCCCTCAATGATTTCTTTTATTTTTGTACAACGTTTCGTTTTTTTTTTTTTTTCAGAACTTTATCAAGTACTGTAACAGAAATACAATAATTAACTTTAAAATTGAACATTCAGATAATTTACAATATTCAATTTGTTTGTAAAAATTTTAGAATTTGTTAATTTTTCTAATTTTTATGTATGTAATATGATGTTTGTTATAATTAAGAGTTTACTTGAATTTAACCTTCCAATTAAATTTATTAAATTCTTGTTAAATTTCAAACTTAATAATGACGTTGTAATTTTAAAGTTAATTATTGTATTTCTGTTGCAGTACTTGATAAAATTCTGAAAAAAAAAAAAAAAACGAAACGTTTTTTATAAGTTTAAAATAATAGACATGATCCGACGTAATGCATTAAATAGTTATTAGTTAATTATTCTCGGTAGCCATTATCACTGCGATATTTTTAAAAATGATTCAGTTTAATAAGTAATAAATTGACAAAAAATTCATTGATAAAATAATAATAAAAGTATAGTGTCTTAATTCATACTCGAGTACTTACAGTAATCAAGGAAACGATTACACCGATAAGCATTCCCACAAGAACGTCGCTCCAGTGATGTTTGTAGTCGGAAACCCTTGACATTGCCGTTGCCCATGCCAGCAAGATAAGAATGAGCTGAACAAAGTGTTTGAATATCACACTACCTTTCCATGTTATTCTCAATTGTAAATACAGCTGAAAAATATTATTAAATATTTATATTTGTACAGCTAGTTTTTTTTATTTTGATGATAAATTATACAATAATAAGTTTCAATTTATTAATTTTAACTTACAACAAGATAAATCATAACGTAGGTAGAGAATGATGAGTGACCTGACGGAAACGACAATCTGAAAAGACACCGAGCGATCAATTGAGACGAATCGTCGTTTTAATTCCTCATATTCTTACCAGCACATATATGTGTATAATATTTATACATATAGATATATAAGTGGCTTTCTCATCTCTCTAAACACTTGAATCTTTCAATATTTTTTGCCTTCTCTACGAAATCTAAAGATAGCACCCAGCAAAAGAGATGGTAGTTACTTATAAGTTTAAAAAAAAAAATAAAAACTACCGACGACGCGAACTAAAGGCTTTTTTCTTTTACGGACCCTCCTCTCATCCGGATAGTCGCGTATGAACATTAAAAAGCTCATTAAAAAAAAAAATAATAAAAATAATGAACTTGAAAAAAAGCGCAAAGTCATATGGCTCCTTACTCCTCCCATAAATATTAACGTCTTTTAACTGAATGAATTCTCTGTCCTCTATCGCGTTCTTAAATCCCAAAGAAAGTCTATTGTCGCAATTGAAATGTCCCATTACATTCTAAATCATCGGCTACTTAATATATCAATTTCAAAACAAGCTATAAAATAAAATAAAATAAAGTAAGTAGTAGTAAAATTTAATATAGCCATAAAATAAAAAATAATTGCAACAACAATAACACCAACAATTAAATATCAGATAAGAATAGTATTGTGTTATTAAAATAATTAGCATTGACCCAGTTACATGTAATCTAAATCACAGTGTCTATTTTAATCGGATTACAACTTACGACCTTGTGTATGAATTATTACATAACGCAATGAGGATCGTCGTCCTCAACTCCCCCGTTATTGTAGTGGACAGTAAAGCGCGCTAGTGCTTACAAGCACCGAGCTTAATAGAGCTCCGGTTTAATTAATTGAGTACATATTTAAGTACACTTATAGTATTCTATATCTACCTGACTTCTTTCAACAGTCTCTTGGTGACGTTTGACGCAGTGCATGTAAATTGATCGTGCTCTATAAACTTATGATGATTTATCGGCAAGCTGCAATTTATACTTGGCTTGCAGAGTTCTATAAAATGTGGGCGTAGTCTTCCAATCGCATATTTGGCTACATCAGTGGTCAATACATTAGCCACCGCTCCAAACGCAAACGACCCTATCTGAAAAATTATCCACGGTTATTTTATCATTTTTTACATCAAATAAATTTTACTTTTTTTTTTGTATTTCAGTCATTAAATTGCAATGCTTTATAGTAATGATATCACTTTACTTGGTATCACGACCGACTTTCTCTTACCTTGTGATAGGCCAATACCACCCAGCGAGGTATTACTCGACCAAATAATACCACCGATGACTGTCCGCTGGTATTTTTAGCGTAGAGAAATTCACCACAAAGTATCTGAAAAATAAATCAAAGAGATACATTAATCGTTGCTGATTAACATGGATTATTTTACAGAATGCAGTCAAACTTGTTTACATATTATTTTTATAAAAAATTTACCTGTCGGAACTACCGAGTTAAATAATTATTTTAAAATGAATGTTCGTCTTATTATTCTTATCAAGGTATAAATATGATAATTAATACGTTAAGTTGATTATATGTCTAAAGTATACGAAAACACGAGACTGCTGATGATCTGATGATGATGCGAGATGATATATTATTATGTCTGAAAGAGCAAGCTCTAGAGGACATATTAGTGTACGTTGTTTAAAATAATTGTTGGAAGAAATATAACAGAGCTAAGTAAACTGCTGATGATTCTATGTAACATCAGCCAGAGCTACGCGTGCCTCTTGATAAGAAATAATCGTGACGTTAAGTGCAATGAGAAATGTATTACTTTATATTATATATATTTATGCAAATACATTTTATTTATTCAGGGTTATCTTCGGGCGATTGTGATTTTTCTATTTTATGGTTTTATTTAAAATATTAAACTTGTTTACAAGTAAAATAAAACACAACAATAACTTACTTAATATGCTAAACGATTTTTGTCCAAACAAGTTTTTATCAACCGTATTATTATGATAAAAGTGCATAAATATCGATTCTAGTGACCGTTTACAAAATTAACGTGAGCGAAGAAGAAAAAATATTTTTAAAATAAGTACTGTATGTTAAACTTTAAATTTATTGTCCGTTTATATATGAATATTTTTCAATAAACATTTCAACGTAACAAAATATATTGACCAGACTAACGTTATTTTATGGTCATTAATATTCATTTAAAGAATATATTCAAGTATTAAATATATTCAGAAACCAATCGCTTCAAATACTCTCTCGTTTTTCTTTATCTCGGCAAAGAAATCTTCGCTTTGTCTTGAAGCCGATAACACCGGTTCTTCCTTATTTTTTCCTCTTCCTTGTAAATAAATCCCATTAGAATAAAGTATTAAAATTTCTTAAATAAAAACCTCGGTAGAGTTACTAATAAGCAAAAAAAAAAAAAGCTCGGATTCCTTGACCACAAGAGGAATCCGGGAAAAAATGAAAATAAATAAAAAAAAAAAAACCAATGTTTTTGATTTTATTACTCACCACACATATAGGAAGAAAAATTCCAACGATGTAGAGCATGGTGTTGGTGACCGTCGACTCTCTGTAAGGATGCATAAGCGATTCATCATTGCAAAAAAATCCTCGCTGATAGGGTTGACCGAACAAGTAGAATCCGAGGACCGTGAAGCCAACTGCAAACAACAAATTGATAAATCGAAAAGTAAATATAATAATTTCTTAAATCAGTATCTAGTAGTCAGAGTCTGGTCCCTAGTCTCTAGCCTTTGGTGCTATCCAGAGATTTTTTGTTTGCCGCGCCTCGAGATCAAGCGGAGATAAAGTCAAAGGCACGCGGGATACGGACAATACCGGTTGTTTTGGTGTGTGAAGCTATACAATATTCGAGGGTTGTATACACACGTTGTTACTACTTACATGTAGTGAAGTGAAATAACACCCGGGGAACCAAATAACTAACCGGTTTTTATGTATTATGTTGAGCCTAACGAAGTTAAGAATAAGCCCGGTTATTATTTGACGCTTCGAGCATTCTTCATACTCAAAAGGATTCAATTATCACTTACAATATACTTTATCATTCGCTTAAAATTTTCTTCTTCTTCTTCTTCTTTATTAATATTATTGTTGTTAAATCATTCATGTAATATATGATACCCATATCCATGATCACCATGCTCAATAAATAAAATTAAATGTATACTTGTTATAATGGCGCATTTAAGAAATATCGTTTAACAACAGATTGTATCATCGCTAATAATTATTAGTAATACTATTGTTATTATTTTATAAAAGACCTTGATTATTAGCAGAATTTTTCCCCTCATACTTTTCATTAAGTCAACTCATGCATTGACCGTAACGAAATACGATCAAGTATAGGGAGGATGATGACGGTGGTAACGATGATGCGGTTGATCGGGTACCCGGAAGAATCGTCAGCCCCAAGTAATAATAGAAAGTGGTTCATTGATGACTACCAGAAGCTCCTTACAATACGCCCGTCGCTTCTATCAATTTATAAGTACCATTTATTATACCTATGACAGGAAAAGTATTTAAATTGAAATTGAAAATGTAATCGATTTAACATTAATGAGTTCTGATAGCCACACCTGTCTACAATTCTGCAATCGATAACCTAACCTGGATGATAATTGTTCTGATAATGATATTTAACATTTGCGATAACGTAAGTTAGCATTTTAAAATTTAAAGTTCTTACCAATAGCCACACAAGTGAAGTCTATTATTATTTTCACTAAAAGTAATTTCGAACTCCGGTCCATGATTCACCTGTCAATTCAGTTCCGCTCTCAAATGCAGTCGATCTGGAAAGAGTTTTATTAAATCAGCCTTGTTGATGATTAATTTGTTGATTTTTTTTTTTGTTTATTAAACCGCGTTACAATTTAATTAAAGACGCATATAAATAAGATAAGCATGCTGAGTCAAGAGTACGGCAGGTGTCACATTGTGATTCGTTGATAACAAGTGATAAAAAAATATACTGACTTACTCTTTTGGTTTTTTTTTTGTCGACTGCTTTGAAAACTGATAGAAATTGTCCAGGCAAATTATATCAACTGGCATTAGCTGTAAGAACACCAGCAATAATAATAAAAACAGGCACTACCAACTACCAGCGAGATTGTCTGGTAGACTGGCGGGAGCTCCAAGTATCTATCGCTGTTGTACTTCTAGATCCCCACCATCTTCATCACTTTATACTGCTTATGTATACACATATGTTGTTATAAATGTATATATCACGTACGGTATACATACGCATCAATATAAACGGTGTATATGTATGTATAATACGATGTCGTTCATCCGCGTGCCGTTTTTCTTCCTTCATCGTAGTACAACTCAGGCTCAATTCGTTTTCACACTCGTAGATATATAATACAATAATAATAGTAGACAGCTGCTTGGTCTTTCCCTTGGAATAGAAAAAAAAATCTATTCATGTATACAAATTTTTTTTTTAACTGCGTTTACGTTGCTATTTTTGCATTTGTATCCACACTGAAAACTTAAGGAATGTTATTTATTAATACTTTTTTTTTTTTTTTTTTTTTTTTTTACCTACATTTGATTGATTGTTAATTCAATTGATTTCATGAATGCTTTCGATCTGAGATTGTTATGCTTTCTTCAATTCATTTTATTTTATCGAAGAGAGTTTCAGTTATTTATTTTTGATAAAGGGATGATTATAAATGAATAGCCAAAGGCGAGGCAAGAAAAATTTGCGATGCTAATGATTATGCGCACGCGATATGCTGGCTCTCAATTGCTTGATGCTTATGATCGTCTCGTTTAAACAAAAGTTAGCTGTAGGATAGAGAGTTGAGAATCTTGAGGGTTCTTTTGATTCAAACCCAGACGATTATTTATTTTTTAGTTTTATTTTATGGGATTATTATCTCAAATACTGGAGGAATAAAGTTTGTTTAGATATCATCAGGGTCTCGAAGCTTAAACTTAGGGGTGTCGCGCTCGAGATACCAAATGAGACTCTTAGAAAAGCATCCGTTGGTTATACATCACATTTTAAGTAATTACTAAAAAAAAGTCTATGACAGGACGTACTCATTAAAAGTTCTCGCTTATAAGTATACAGTATGTTCTAAATTAAAAAAATATTCAATACATATTTTTTTTTGTATTAATATATACGTATAATTTTATTTATGGTAAAAAAAAAATAAGTGAAAACAAAACCAAACAAATTTACAGGAGATAGCGATCGGCATGATAAATTTTTATTAATTAATGTAATTAGACATGTTATATGTACAAAGGCGGCGCAAGGCGTATGATTCATCGTCGTCTACATTACAGTCATCGTACATTTGTTTCCGCCCTTCGGTAATGATTTTTATTATTTTTTTTTTTTTTTATTTCTATTTTACTTTTTTTTTAATAACAAATTCTTATTGTTGTGTCATGCAAGAGAAAGCGACCAAAGACACTTAACGACTTAAAGTCGGATTACTGGATTGCTTAAGTTTTATTTTTTTTTAAATTAAGAAAATAATTGTATTAAATTTCATATGAATTTATAATATAATAACTATATTTAATAATGCGAAGTCTGCATAAATAATTGTTTTCAAACCTTAACATTTTGTTATTTGCAAAAAAATAAAGCATTTTTTTTTTTGTATAAAGCCATTGTTTTGTCGTGTTAAAATTCTAACGCGTGAAATTATTTACATTTATTTATATATATTATAAATATAAATTTATTGTATGTATTTATATATGTATAAGTCAATATTTTGTGTGGGCAACAGCATCTATGAAAATTATTATTATTATTATTTAAATAATATTTCATCGAAATTATGTACAATCATTGTTTTACTACTCGATTCAGCGTACTTGTTCAGATAAAAATCTGCTATAATTTAATACGTCATTCTACTGTCAAAAGAATAAATTGTTTAAAGTTAAAAAATTTATAATTGATAAATAAATTTATTTATTTAGCTTTTTTGGTATTAAAGAACGTACGCGGTGTGAGTGGATTCAATCTCCGATAGTCATCTACGTGGTTCAGCGGCATAAGTAGTGATGGAATTGTCGATACATCCAGCAGCAAGGATCACTCGGTACGGATGAAAATTTAAGCAGCTCACAGGACTTATGCGCGAGCTCATAAATCCTTCATGGAATTTTATTGTATTCACAGGATGGCTAGTCGTAGTATTGTATATACTAATGCAGTGATGCATAGATCCACTGAAAAGATAAAAAAAAAATCAATCAGTAATATTAAGAATAAAATAAAAAAAAAAATAATTTAGATATTTAAATAAAACTAGACAGAAATTAAGAATAAACTTACCAAGCAAAAAGATTGGCAATTGGATGGACAGCGAACGCCGTCAGACCTTGAGTAGTTTGTACAACATTTATTGATGAATTTTTTCTGAGATCAAATATCCTAACATCTCCGCTAGACGAGCCAGTGATCAAACGTTCAGTATGTAAGCCGTTTGATTTAAGTAAATAAGCACCAAGGACCCAGGCATTGTGTTCACGCCAGGTCATTATTCTCGCTTCAGCGGGTGGTAATCGCCGATCAAACAGCCGTACGGAACCATCGCCACACCCGAGGACCATCATTGAGCCTGCAAAGGGTCGAGATTTTTATTGTCAAGAGATACGAAGAAAGACATCAGCCCTCACAGTCATAATAGCTTTAGTTGAAAAATTTTTAACAAAAATAAGAAATAGAAAAGTACACAAAGAAAATAAAACATCGTAGGTAGAGAATTTACCTGTTCCGTCGGTATCTATACAAGTGACGCAACAATCAGAACCCGTCGGCAAGTCCTGTTTCTTCAATTCCGTAGCAGCGTCCCAGAGTCTGACAACTCTTACGTCTCCTGAGGCAGCTAATGTCAGAGATCGTTGCTCCCAACTTGTAACCAGACCCGCAGAGGCCACGGAGGGTTTAGTAGCCGGCTGGACATCTGCTAACGCTTGCCACGCGGTGAGTAACGTGGGTTCACGACCCAACATGTTGCAGTAATTTTTCCAGACTCGTACAGCACCATCGTCTGAACCCGTCATCAAATATGAGACATCGTGGGAGTTAATAAACTCCAGTGAGGTAATTTTAGCAGACATCTTACTACTGCGAGCCGTGTGATACGTCAATTTAGTACCCGAGTGCCAATCCCATACTCCAAAGCTGTCCTTGCAAGCTACAACCATGTGCGAATCGAACGGGTGGAGCATAACGACGTCTGGCTGCTGTGGACTTCGGCTGTGGAATACCTGGGACTCGATTCTCGCTGCATGTGTCTTTTGATATTCTTCACGCGCGTCACGCCGCTGTCTTGTATTTCGCAAATATCTCCATTCACGCTCGTAGTGTGCTCGACTTTCCAAGTCACTGGTTGACTCTGTCACGCTGTCAAAGCTCACAGGCTGAGCAAATTGAGCACAACTCCACTCGACAAATTGTGAACTTGTCAGCGGTTTGCGCAACCCGATTATTTCATCTGTCTCCTCGGAGATGGTATTTGGAATCGGTTTTCTTATACGATTTCCATAAACAGGTATTCGGTTTGATCGTAACAAATCAGAGGTAGAGTTTGTTGTGGGAGGTGAATCTTTGTTGAGATAATTTGTGCGATTTGACGGCGAAGGTGGAAGTGACAGTGACGAAGCTAATTTTGTCTCTGCAACTTCTTTCGGGGCTGTAGAATCTTTAGCTTGATTACGTATGTGAATAGTTACTTTTTGCGACATTTTCGCAACAGCTGGATGAGGATCGTTGTCCAGAGAGGCAAGACCATGCCATAATTTCATGTACACGCTACCGTATGAAAGACTCGGTAAACTGCCCATTGAACTATGACCTAAAATAAAATAAAATAATTTTTTTAATAAAATAATATAAGTTTATAAATATTATAAGTTAATATTACCAAGAGACTCGCAAGGCTTCCTTACGAATTCCCAATTATTTCCTACAGTGAGCGCAGTGAAACAAGACAATACATTAACCTCCACCCTTATCAAGTAATTAATAGTTATTTTTATTAACAATTAATGGTAATAAGGTGAAAAAAATAATATAATATAAAATAAAAAAATAACATACCTAAACTGCTGATTGAAGACGATGAGGAGACTCTTTTGATGCGATCAGAACCAGAATTGCTCTCAATGCTATTGTCACCGTGTGAGTTGTTTGGTGTCAACATTTTCAAGCGATCTCGTGATCCCATTGGGCGCATTCCACTGAAGGGTGAAAATGTTTCAACGACAAGATCTCTTCTTGAATTTTCTTCAGCGACGGCCAGAGTTACAAATGAATTTTCAAAATGTAGAACCATCCATTGGAGCGCGACAACTAATTCTTTTCTCACTAGCGGCGACATGTCGTAGGTAACATTGTTGATAAGAATCATTGCAATTATCTGGTCAATATTATTAGCATGTTCACTACGTTTAGTCACACTGTTAATAAAAGTACCCAGAGCATAAACACTGGCAGTCCTAACTTCAGGTATCGGATCTTGAAGTAATATTGCCAATTTTTCATGAGCAGTATCACGTACTCCGCACCAGCGAGCTTTCTCGTAGTTATGCCATATTCTACCGAGACAAAGGCACAGCCACTGTCTCAATAGAGGATTCGGGTCATTAAGCTGCTCCAGGCAGATAGACACTAGGCTCCCCTGAAGAGCCGCTTCCTGTCCGAGCGGGTAATTATTTACAATACTGGCAAGCACAAATGTAGCCAGCGTACGGTGTTCACTTGCCATCGAGGTATCTTGTAGAACCGACAAAAAATATTTGTGTCCACCATCTCTTACCAAGTCGGCTTGACACGAGCTGTCGACCGCCAGGATCTTGGCCCATATAAAAACCAAAAGCGGGCGAAGTTCTCGAGCACTACTCTGCAGTAGTTTCAATACGTAAGGAAATATCCCAACGCTAAGTGCTAAATTGACAGCCCAGGGGCCGAGGTCCAAGAATTTTCCCAGTAATTCTAATGCTCGAAGTCGATGAACTTGGCTCAATAAGACTTGTAAGACAATTGGTAACTGCTCAGGCGGTTCACGATTCTTGGAGCCAAGTGTTAACCATACTTGAAAAGCTGTTAATTGTTCCTCGAAGAATGGCGAATGCACAAATTGATCTTCGGACTCTAGTATTAATGGCAATTGGGACAAACACAAATCAAGTGCTAAATCCCATGCCTGCCACATTGGATGCTGGTATGTAGGCGGTAATTTAGGACACGAGACTGGTGTACAATCATAAGAACGTAGTATTCGTTCGGCAAGTAAAAAATTCCTAAACAAACTGGCTACTAGCAAGTCTTGTCTAAATAAACGTTGAAATAAATCACGAGGCAATGTGTTCCACGCAATAGTATCTGTTATTGCTGTAAATATCCAATTTAGTTCTCCAAGCATAGTTCGTCGATCTGTCAATTGTCCAGGAATCCTAATAAAAACATATCGGTTGTTATGACAAGTTTGATAAACAATATTAATAAATAAATATATCATAACATTTCAATTTTAATCTATATTATTAAGAGAATAAGAAAAATTTTGTGTCCAGGATAGTCATATGATAAAATCGGTTTTTTTTTAGTGAAATTTAGTGTCATTTTAAAGGGCTTGACTTGAATTTGTGCCTTTTCAAGGTTTCATATTATTCTCACCGATAGTCAATTTATCATGATAAGTATTTAGGCTGCATTCGAAAATGCTCCATTTCTAGATACATAATTAAGAAATGACCTTGTATCTTGAAAACTATTGACATTTTTAAAGATATAAGCTCATCCCGATGTTACATTCATCTAAACCTTTCGTTTGAGTACCCACATCAATTTTTCATATATTTATATATATTATATATATGTATATATGAAAAATATATAAAAAATGCATGTGGATACTCAAATGAAAGCTCTTGATGAGAGTAACATCGGGATGAGCTTATATCTTTAAAAATGTCAATAGTTAAGAATGTACAGTGCAATTTAATATAATTAAGAAACGACCTTGTATCTTGTGAACTATTGATATTTTTAAAGATATAAGCTCACCCCGATATTACACTCATCGAGATCTTTTATTTGAGTACCCACATCAATTTTTTCATATATTTTATGCATTTATATATATATATATGAATATATGAAAAATATATCAAAATGCATGTGGGTACTCAAATGAAAGCTCTTGATGAGTGTAACATCGGGATGAGCTTATATCTTTAAAAACATCAATAGTTAAGACAGTACAGTGCAATTTAACAAAAGTCATTATTCAATAAAGCAAAATTTTATTAATTTATAGTTCACAAGTCACGACAGTCACATAGTGACTGCAGGGTTGCTAGTCAATTATTATTTTTCTACTGCAGTTTAAGGTAAAATTAATTCTTATTGTTAACAATAAATTAATTAAAATAATACTCACTTATCAATAAGATCCAGTGAAACTTTAGGAACTAATTTTGAAGTATTCTGCATAACAAACCAACGCAAAGCTATTTTAATTGGCGTTGTCAAGCAAGCGGTAAAAACGTCTGCGGGCAAATCCGGATTCATCGGCAATATTTGATTAGCTGCACACGCGGCAAGCTGAATACAATTTTTATAAGATGGCATTTGAGCGCCAGTGACACCGGCAGCGCGATTTTGTTTCTCAATCTCATATTCTTTTTCATGTTGTTCAGCAAACTGTTGAAACGAGTCAACGATAATGCCGGCATTTGAACAATCATACACATAGATGCTTGGTGCACCCATCCAAGTTTGCAGATCATAAACCGACAAAGGAATGTATTGAGTGTAGGTGCGATTAAAAACCCAAATTTCTCCATTACTTGTCGGCTTTGGTACTCCATGACCATTGTAATGGAACAGTACCCTCTCTTCTTTGGCATTCCTACGCAGGGATGTACATAATTTCTTGACCTCCTCTACTGTAGGGTCAAGACTTTGCTTGTAGCGAGCTCGTGGCTGCCATCGCTCGTATTGTTTTTGCAAATTCGATCCAATGGTCTCTAAAGCTTTCTGGGGGCTCACCGACAATGGATCTGTTTAATAAATAATACATGACTCAATTACTTATTATATTTATATTTATATTATCGACCGAGTGAATTCTACTGCATTACTTGTTTATGTACACGTTGTCTCTTATTATGTACTAGGACAAGTGCTGTTACATAAGAGACTCAATGGGATACACAAGCACATGTAATATTTTAGCAGTAATAATAATAATAATAATAATAATAATAATAATAATCATAATAATTAAATAAAAGATAATATTACCAATCCAGCACTCTAGCCGTGCACAAGGTTGAGTCTTGACAATGTCTGGAGGATCTACGCCCACGTTTAAGCATAAAACAAGAGCGACACTTACTGTTTTCATCTAAAAAATATTTTATTAGTTGTGAATAATTATATTGATATTAAAGATAGAAAAAAAATATTATACTCGTTCTTTTAATCGCCAGAATTGTGTTATACAATTAATTCCTTCAATGGTAGCAGTATGTCTTGGTTTATTAAAAGCAATCGGTAATTTCCAATCCTCTTCCTTTTCACGCCGCTCCAATTCGTTATTATTATCGTCATCATCGTGTTCAGAACCCTGACGTGATTGTTTTATTGGAACCAGTGACATTGTTGTGTGTGTTTTTTATTATTAACACAACTACTTTTATTGGTTATTTATTATTTTATATTATTTACACATTCCATGTGTATATTTATTGTGTTATAACCAATAATTTAGCACCAATTTATTTCTATTCAATGGATCACTAATATATATAAATATATATATATAGATAACACACCCACAAAAAAATTGTTCACCTTCGCAATGTCCGGCGAGTAATTTTAAAATTTATTTTACGACGTCGTAACATTTGGAGTTATTTATTATTTAAATAACACTAGATATTTATTTGAACTCTTTAATGTAATAATACATTACTTGTGTAATTGTAATATGATTGTTGAGGTAACATTAAAGATCCTTCATCGCCATGTTTTCAAACTAACTGCACTATCGACTGAGTCGGCAACCTTCGGATAAAAAAAATTTTGGTATACTTTATTTTTATATTTTTATCACAATGATGTTGTATATAGCCCAAAATTGGCTATAGTAAATTTATTGAGTTCTTTTAATTCGCCCGTTGGAACGCGGTAGGGCGTTCAACTCGCAGTAAATAGATTAAGGCGGGAGAGTAGATTTAAATTTGAATAAGTTGAATTAAATAACATATATAATAAATTTAAAATACTCGGATTATTTTAGTTTAATTTAGATTTGCCTTGCGCGCAAATCTATTATTTATTATTCAATAAATTACAAAATAAAAAGTACCGACAATAATTCCGAAAAAGAAAATATTCGCGTGGCGTACTTAAGTCTTGCTTATTGATAAGTGTCTTCTTGTTCCTTGGTTTTTGACTCCCCTGGTTGAGATGTTCGTACTTTTTGAGTGGGAGAGGCCCAGAGGGTAGTGAGGGTAGTTGCGCGCGCCTCTACAGCTCTCATCTTCGGCTAGCATCCCTTCTCGAGTTGGCAAAATGGGACCATGTTGAAATGACATCACGATGACCCTCGATGTTTCCAGGTCATTTGCAGCCCGCCTGGATATCTGGTTTTTATGACCTAGCCTTGGGTACTCGAGTAATCCCTTTTTTTAGCGAACGTTTTGGAAAATAAGCTTCTTAAAAGATTATGACAATAAAAATTAATAAATAAAGATCTCTGGGTTTTCTCTAGTTTCGTAAAGAATATTCCAAAACGTTCGGTATCTTATTCTAAGTGACCATTACAATTACAAGCGTAAGTTTATTTTAAAAAAGAAATTTTTCTTAGAATGTCTAGACTAACTGCACGGCACTTAAAAGTTTTTATGTTTTCCCTTGGGAGTTTCCAGTAATTATAAATTCGTCTATATCCTAAAATTTATGATAGAAAAATTCCCATACTTAACAATAGAATTTAAAATAGAAAGGTTTACGATATTTGAAAGATTCTTATTTCTCTTACTGATACTATTTAAATCTTACTGGGTTTTTCCCGCTATTATTTATTGCAGCCATCTTTTTATACGTAATTCTATATTAATATACAGAGAGCGTTGTGATCAATCTTTTCGGATTCACAACAACAAACAATAAAATAAATCATTGTATATTTATACTTATCAATTACAACGATTCTATATAATTAAATAATTACATTTATTTATCTATATACAATACATATTAAATATTCTCAACACTTTTTTACTTCAATATTGGACTTATGTACACGAACAAAGCATCATTACAGTTATTTCATCGTTATTACAATATATTACCAATAAATTGTAAAAAATTATATATTAATCTCTGTAACAAAAATTATATTTAAAAAAAAAGTCAATAATAATTATAAGAATTATTATTAAAATTAAAAAGTGATATTCATTAAGGAATAATTCAATAAGGAATAAAAATTTTGTAACAAATGTTACAAATAAAATTTCACTGGGATACAGACTCGGTTAAAAATATTAATCTATGGAAAATATATTAAATAAACATTGAGTTGACTATTATATCGCATTGCTAATGCCAAAAAGACTTGGAAAATTTTTTAGAGTTTCCAGTAAATGAATGAAGCTGTCTAAAATTTTTTTGATTTTTTTTTTTTCTAGAATACTATCTGAAAATATTAAAAAATACATGAACGTTCATTTACTGGCTTAGTCACCCTACGCCCTTTTAACTTTATAATAAAGGCAAAAGGGTGAACATTAAATTGCACGTCCATTGAGCTTTCCAATATAAAGATTTTTATAATTAAAGTCTTGAGAGCGTATACATTTTTTTCTTCATCAAAGAAAAAATTTCTAACATATTTGAAAAAATAATTTCTATAAAAACTTTAATCAATAATTTGCTTTTTTTTTTTTACAAATTTATAACTGACTTACATCACAAAATATTTTCTATTTTATTAACTTTAAGTTTGACTCTTTACCCAGCTTTACTGTAAAACGTCCTATTGGCATTAGAAACGCGATGATACTATAAATCTATAAGTATAGAAATAATCATTATTATTTAAATAACATTCTTCATATCTCAATCGTCCTTCAGTTTAGTTTTGAATAGTTTTTGGATCACCTAACTGCTTGTATCCCTATAAAAATAAAACTAATTATATTTCTCTTATTAAATTGAATTTATAGTAAGTAAAAGTAAAAAATTTTTAGCAAAAAAAAAAGCATAATTGTTCAGTACATATGTAAATTAATGTGTTAAAACAGTGCATGTAAAAAGCGTTTAAAATAAAAAAAGTATTAGTTGAGTGGTTACTTTAATTATTACTCATGCATTAATCATGATAGGACACGATGCAAAATATTTCCATCAGTTCATGCTTCCGTAATAGGGTGTTGTAATTTTTAAATTTCTATATCCATCGCTTACAGTGCTATTAAACGAATCACGTAGCCGCTCGGTGAATGTCTTATACTCCATTTCTGGATTGCTTTGACCGAAATCAAAGTCTGCAACTTCAACGGTAAATCGTGCTCGACTTTGAAGATAATATGCAATACCAAATACTATTAATACCACAGCAGCTAATGTACAGGATACCGGTACAACGATAACAGATAATTGAGGCTTTGCCGTTGCTGAAATATCAAACCAATTTAATTATTAATTTAAGTATCAATGAATTACTAATATTATTTAAATTAAAATTAAAATAATTACCCTCATAAATGTTAATAGTTAACGGATAAACATGCACACTGACATCATTCTTAAGTATCATCAATATTGTATAAACAGTAGGGTCTAAGAAGTAGTGACTAATTGAAAAGTTACACGAGTTAAGCTTTTCGCCGTTATCGCATGTTTCATTTCCAGTAATATTGTAATTGCCACGATGATACTGAAGGCATTTATAAAAAGGACCAGATCCATGACACGTGACATTTAAAGACAAAAGATCCCATGGCTTTATCCAATTAGTACCTTCGACAGTTATGTTCTTAATTGGAGCTAAAATATGAATTAAAATAAGTCGATTGTTTCTCTTATTCTTTTTATCTTAAGGGGTTACATGGGTTTCCTCCGGGAAAAAATGGCCTATTTTCAATATTTTTTTTTAATAGAAAAAATGAAATATTTTATTCAAACTTTTTACTGTCTTAAAGATACATGTTTAATAAGGGATTACTGAAATTAAAAAAAAAAAAAATATTAAAAATTCTGATAATGTGACGTCATTTCTGGCAAGCCCTCGGAAAAAAGATGCATCCGCGTGATCAGCAGAACTTCTAGCAGAATCATCAGAAGTTAAAAAAAAAATACGTGCTTTAGTTAAGACTTCAAATTAGGTCTTGAACGAAGAAAAAAAAAATTAAAATTGAATTTTTGGGAGAGGTTTTTACAAAAAAATTAAAAATTTGGCTAAAATTACGCGGCATTTTTTTTTAAATAGTTGTAATTGAAAAAAAAAAAAAAAAGACCTTCGTTCAAGACCTTGCAAATTATATCTCGAAGACCTGTCTAAAATTTCATCAAGATCGGTTGAGTAGTTCTCGAGAAATCTTGGGTACCGTCTTTGAAAATATAGTTTTGAGAAAAACGCGTTTTAAAGTTTTGAGTGGCAATACAACAGCAACTTTTTAAAACTGTATCTCCGAAACTATTATTCGGATCGATTTGAAACTTTAGGACAATATTCTAGAGATATTGTAGAATTTAATAAGACAAAAGAAAAAAAAATCAATTTTTTGAAACCATGAAACCTATGCAACCCCTTAATACTCTTCATAAGTTATTGTATTGATATGTAACGGAAGCTATGACCGGTCAGCTGAACGCTAATATATATAGATGTATATACTATATAATATGTACTCTGAATTTTCCAGCTGGAATCTCCAAAGGCTCCGACAGTCGGAGTAGGTTGAAACAATAAAAATAAAATTTGAGGGTGACTTCAAACAAGCTTAAATTTTTTTTGCGGGGTAAAGTGTATTAAGAATTTTTTAGGAGTTTTATAAATTCTTCAGCTATAATTTCTAGCAATTCCGACAATCGCAAGCGGTTCAAATAATGATAATGTTAAAATGTATCGAGAATTATCTAGGAAGCTTTGAAATTGATAATGTTTAATAAATATCTATATATATATATATATTAGCGTTCAGCTGACCGGTTGAAACTTCAGTTACATGTATTGATATATCCTCACTATACGATACCTCTCACTTTTATTTGTCTTTGGAAATATCCGTATGTTTTCTTGGGATCCGGAGAAACTAGAGACGTATTTACACAAACATACGGTAAAGAAATATTTTTAAAGCCAATAGTAGCATTCGTTGATGAGTTCGTGCTTGGAGTTGTTACTGTTGGCTTAAGTGTCGTCGTAACGATTGATTTGGGAGTAGTCGTAGTGGTACTATTTGACGGAATGGTTCCATTGGATGATGGTGCTGAGGTAGTAGTAGTAGTAGTAGTAGTAGTTGTTGTTGTTTTTGTTGTTGTTGTGCTCGTCGTAGGAGCAACAGTTGTAGGAGGATCATACGAAGCTACCACCAATGCTTCTAATGATGCCTCTGTCTCGGGTTTTGTAAAGTTGAAACGAAAACTAAAATCATTAGTCTGTCCATAATATTTGCAATCAACAAACCAGTATGTCGTTATCGCAGTAGCATTTGCTTCGATATAATCAGCGTCACCTTTACGTAATTTAATCAGTATTTCCGCCTCTGAAGCAGATGATATATATTCATTTGTTGCTGTGTTATTAGACTGTGCTATTGTCAAGTTACCATTAAGTAGAGCTAGAAACAAATCCATGAATAATATTCAAGTAATAATATTATCAAGTCAAGATAAAAAAAAAAAAATAAAACTTACGAGTTATTTCAAATGTTTTATGCTGACTGGTAATTTCTGGCCAGAAGATGATAAGTATTTTACGCTCTACTTTAACTTCAACAGTATACTCTCCTACTGGATATAGGTCTGCTGGATATTGCACTCTCCAAATACTTGTCGTATTTTCTGACGATTGCGACTACAATAAATTAAAAAAAATTAATTTTTTGATAATACAGTTTCTATGATATTTAAAATAACACAATAGTACACTAATTACTATACCTCGTATGTATGCGGAGGCACTGCGTTATCTCTCCAAAAGTAAACAAAGGTACCAGACGGTCTGGTACCGTCACTGAAATAAAGATCAGCTTGAAAAGTTATTATTCCACCTTGGACAGTTGGTCCATCGTGGGTCAATTTGACATAACCACCATACACTGTACCTGAAGAAAAAAAAATAACTTCAGAAAAAATTGAATGTTAAGTGTTACATTAAAAATTCTATTTATATTAAAATACTACGCATATTTTTTTGAGCAATAAGTTATTGGTAAAATAAAAAACGTCATCACGTATTTAACTTACTTTGCCATGTTAAACAATAAATCGCCGCAATGACATTTAAAAAATTAACACGCCCCATATTACAAAAATCACGTATCACATTTATTATTTTTTTATTTTCCTTGATGTAGTGATAACAAACTTAAATCCAAGTATAATTACCAGTACTCTGTGCCAGTGACAATCATGTTTTGATAACGATCATGACTAACTCCATTGTCTGTCATTTCTTAACAATTGTGAGATACTTTACGAAGTTGTCTGCTTGTAGAATAAAAATATTTTTCTTTAGTTGGTAAGCAGGTGGTAAATAGTTGGTTGGTAGCAGAAGTATGCGCGTGCGCTAATCGTAAATAATTTCAAATTCAAACATTTGAAATTTTATCAATGTGATTTTTCACTGTCAAAGATAATTCACTCACTTAATATATATTGATCAGCTGATGTCGATAAAAAATTATCAAATTAAAATTAACAGGTGTCTAACTATCTTTAGAATTTTTTTCAACAAATAAATTATTCTCGATAAATTAAAATAAAATATATAAATAAATGCATTTTTTTCGAATATTTCTTTAGTACAAATTTATGAGTGACTTTTTTTTAAAAATGAATATTATTGAAGCCCTTTTCAAAGCTAAATGCGTGTTTTAGATGATACTGAAGTCATTAAAAAAATTATTGAAGAATTAAAAAAATTATTTAAAAAATTTCCAAATCGTTTTTTTTTAATTTTCGCATGTAAAATTTTTTTTCATAATTTTCAGTGTCATTGTTTTAGACACTACTAAAATAAACTTATAATTTAGAGATCCACTTAACAATGTCAAACCTTTCACTATTAATTTTCTTTTTTAATTTTTAAGTATACATAAATTATCTGCAATAGCAACGAAATTCGTTCTACATTTACAACGAAAATCTTCACAAATAGAATTTCCGACCATGCACTGATCATCTTGCCAACAATATCCATCTAAAATTGGTAAGCATGTTGTATTGCTGACAGCAATATTGTTGACATTACAAACACATTTTTTATTTTTTGAGCATTTTGCATGCCACGAGTCACTGCAATCTGAATTATCATTACAAGAGTATAACAGTTTGGCTAAAAGAAAAAAATAAGTTACCAATAATCGGACATTTTATGAAATATCAAAAATAAATAAGCTTACTTTCTCTGCATTCATAGACAGATACTGATGAAAACAATGGTTTACATTGACACGTAGAATCGAGACAATGAAAGTTTTTTTCACACTCTTCATCATAAGAACAGACTCCATTTAACACGGAGTAACAAGTATGATTATTGAATGCGAAATTATTATCCTTACAAACGCAAATTTCGTTTAATGAGCATCGCGAATTTCCCAAGTCCCAGCAATCTCGGTCTGCTCTACAAAATCGGCTTCGTGTGACTGAAAAAAAAAAAATTAAGTAGGATTAATAATAAATATTGATACATAGTATCACATTTAGAAAAGAAGAAATAATAAAAATCAGCTTACATAGTGGGTTCGAATTTTTTTCATTGCAATCTTCATGAGATGGACAATTATTTATATGGTCCATTCTTACTGCAATAAAAATTTTCAAGCATTAAGTTTATATTAATTAAATTGTTTATTATTTTATATGATAATAAAATTAGCAGGCATCTGAAAATTTTTGAAATTTTTATAACAAATTTGCACTTAAAATTTTTTTTCAATTTCTACATGTGAAATTTTTTTACTAAATTTTTTTGATAATAATTTAATTGTTATAAAAATTTATTTCAATATCATTATTGTATTTGAATTTTACGTGTACCACATTTAAATCCACGATTAACGTAATGAAGTTTACATTGACATCTATTATTAATACAATCAGAATTTTCCACCGCGCACTTTTCATTATTTCTACAGAGTACATCTAATTTCGGAAGACATATTTTATTGTTTATCGGTAAATAATTGTCATCACAAACACATATATTTTTCCTGCATACTGACTGTTTGATAAATTTCCTGCAATATGAGTCATACTGACACGGCATAGCTATGTGCGCTAAAAAAATAAAATTAAATTAATAAAAAACTTTTCACTTATTTCCATTACAACTTACGTGATGGACAATCAATGTAAGAGTGAGATACGTATTTGAATTTACATTGACACTTATTATTGATACAAACAGAATATTTTGAGACACAGCAATTTTTTTTTGTGCAAAATTTATCTAATGATGCAGTACAAGCCGTTGAATTTATTTTTACCCTATACTCGGTACAAACATACTGTCTATTTGCTAGAAACTTTGCAGTTATAAATAATCGACAATTAGGATCATTGCTGTAACAAGATCGAGAAGGTGATTCGACTGAAAATGGCCAAATCAAAAATTAATTTCGATTCTTTCTCGTTGTTCAATTAATTAATATAAAATTTGCATTTTGAGTACTTAATATGTTAACATACTTAGAACACATTGTTTATCAGCGACATTCAAGTAACCAAGTTTACACCGACATTTATTTTGTTTACAAACTGAAAATTTGATGGGACATTCATTATCAGTGAAACAAATTTTACCCACTTTAGCTATACACCTAATTTCATCAAATTTGGTGAAGTCGTCTTTACAAGTACATTTTTTATCGTTTGAGCATACAGCGAACTGTATCATTTTACAATCGGCATCGGTATTACATGTTTTGAGGAATTTTCCTGTAAATATAAATCAATAAAATAAGATTAATAAAAAAAAAAAATTATGAAAAATCATCTATATAATAAAATGATGATAATGAAATCAGTAGACGTTTAAAAATTTTTTAATTTTTATCATTAATTAAATTGTAACTAAAAAAATATTTTAAGAAAATCACACTTTTAGTTTTTCAAATTTTCTGCATCTGAAATTTTTATTTTTATTTTTTTATAATAATTTTTTTAATAAGAAAAATCCTAAAAATTGTTAGATGTCTGCTAATTTCATTTTCATATAAAATCTAATTTATAAAATAGTAAAGCTATAATAGAAGAAACTATTTTCCACTATTTAGTAATAAATAATTGTTATAAGATAATACATTAATACCTTCTTCTATACACACCAACGAATTATTAGAGCTTGTTTGTTTACATGTTAACTTTTCATCGCAACATGTTACTCCATCATTGGGATCACACTAAAAAACATAGTGTATAAATAACTAAGCAATTAAAAGTAATAATAAATTTTTTTAATATTATTAACATACAGTGTCTCCATAATTTACGCATTTATCGTACGAATAAACACACAATACCATTGAAGTTATAGTGATAAATTTAAATAACTTATTTATAAATACCATAATGTAACCCTTTATGATAAAATAATAAAAATTACAAAATTAATAAACTTATTTAATGTTATAAAATATAAAATATATTGCACAAAATATAGAGCACGTATATCTTCTTTTATATTTACTCAAATTTGTAGTAATCAACTATACGACTATAAAAGCTATTTTTAAAATATTTTTATGTGTTATGGATGTGGAATAGTTAAAAAATAAAACAATTATTTTTTGACCGTTGCGTAAATGACAGTCATTAAAAATTAATAATGGTTTACTAAAAAAGAAAATTTCGGTTAATGATACTTAAAAAGAAAAATTAACAGATATTTTAAAAATAGACATATACTTTCAATTAAAATCTAAGTATCGGAATAATATATCGCTCTGGCAACGATTTTCTTAATTATTTATATATATATATTATATATATAAATTATCAGCGATGGCAATGTGATTTGGCTTACATTGACACAGATAATCTTTAGAAATAGAATTTCCGACCACACACTGATCATCTCACCAACAATATCCATCTAAAATTGATAAACATGTTGAGTTAGTGATAGCAACATTGTTGATATTACAAACGCATTTTGTTCAGTGCACTTTGAATGCCAAGGATCACTGTATTTGTTATTAATAGTTTGATTTTTTACATTAAGTTAAGGTAGTTCCAGCATGAAATCACTTTTCGACAGATTTGGCTGAAATTTTTTTTACGGGTTCAGAATAGCTTTATTTATAAATTCCTGAAATTTCATAATTTTTGACCGTTTAGATCGCGAGATATTTAAAGTCAAAGTTGGCGATTTTGAGGGTCATGTTCCATCTAAAGCATGTAAAATGTCCGGTCTCTCCAACTATTTTTTATGATATTAAAAAATTCTCTCGACAGAATTGGAAAAAAAATTAGGGGAGTGTTGAAAAATGTTTTTAGAATAAGTTAAAAAAATAAAAATAGCACCTCACCGTTTTGTTATCGAGATATAATAATTTTAAAAAATAAATTTCAATCCATATCTAACCTGCTCACTTAACAACTTATAGTGATTTGGCAACGCTGTGCGCAACGCTCCCTGAAATAGTGTAGCATAAAAAGCGGGAAATTCAAATCTTTCACGGTTTTCAAGAGCAACGTTGCCAGATCACTAGACTAACAATATGTAATTGTATGTATGAACGTCTGTGTGCCGAGGCTTTATGACCCAGATTTTGGGTCAGGGACAGCAGGGAGAATAGGGCTTGGAAGATGGGACAAGGAGGAGAAGGACAGCAGCTAACGACGCGACGGGCCGAATTTTCGTCCATTTAAATTGTTTAAATTTTGTATATAGTTTTGTTTATTGCGTTCAGTATTATTACTAATCATTATTATTATTATTATTATTATTATTATTATTATTATTATTATTATTATTATTATTAATTTGAAAGAAAGAAAATGTTTATTGTGGTATTTTGTTTAGTTAATAATATTATATTATTGTTTACCAAAGGCTTAATTAAATTTAATCAAAGTGGGAGAAATTATTTTATAGCCGAGCAAGTTTAGCAAGCAAAAGAAAATCATTGTAAAAGAATTTTAAAGACTGGGAAATTATTCTAAGTCCCAAGCCGATTTAGTATAGGAAAGCGGCGAATGGATATAAAATGAAAGAAATGACAATTATTATAATTTAGGTAAGCGAAAATTATTCTAAGTCCCAGACAAGTTTTAGTATGGGAAAGCGACGAATGGATATATAATGAAAGAATTTGCAATTAAAATAATAAAGAATTGTGAATTTGTCGAAACGAATGGATATATAATGAGAGAAATGACGATTAGTATTTTAAAGAATTGGGACTTGGAAATAAAAACTTAGAATTTGGCGAGACGAATGGATAGAGAATGAGCGAAATTGCGATTAAAATAATAAATAATTAAAGGACGATTTTTCGGTATAAACACCACTGTCACCAGGCCGTTAACGGAGATAGCACCATGTGAAGTAAAACTACATATAAGAGCTTGAGACATTGACCTACAAACTTGTAGTCGAAGAGTAATTAAATTAAAGAATAGTTTTTGGACAAAATTAACCGGAATTAACGCATGGTTATACACGACCCGAGAAATGGAAACCATAGTTATGAAATGCGAAACAAACAAATCATTAGAATTAGGTGTAGAAGGAACGGGGGTAATATAGATGGCCCCCGGGTGCGAGGGAATGTCTAAAGAGAAAAGATTCATTACTACGCCGAAGATGCGAGAGAGAGTGTGGAAGAAGTGTTATTTTGTAAAGACCAGTTTTGATGGTTCTGATCGAATTTTTGTTACCGACGAAAGGTACGTGTGCGCCTACCGACGTAAGATTAGTTGTTGTGAAATCGTTTTCTTTGTATTTTCGTTTTGGATTAACGACATCTGTTAATTTAGATCTAGTTTTGGGATTTTAATATAACCTAAAATTGTATCACGAGCGTTTTGTTTATTTTGTAATCTTTTTCATTTGATTTATTTAATTGGATTTGATAAATAAATTGTTTATTTTGTCTTTAATATAACCTGTTTGACTTTTCGGATTTATTTCTATAGATTTAGTTATATATCTATTATTTACATTTAAGTAAGTTTTGTTTTTGGCTTTACTTCGTTATTTTTTTTGTAATTTTGGTGACAGCCCCTTTTATGACCCTGGACTTCGGCGAGCTTCAGATTCGAGCAAGGGGGCGTTTGTGTCGCAGTATCGATAGTTCACTGGTTTAATTATTTTTAAACACCTCAAAATTACCCGTTACAGCTTTTAAATTTTTGTCCATAGTAAATGCTCTGACTATACTATACCACGCTGGAACTACGTTAAAAATTGTATATTCACTCCGTAAACATCGGTCAATAGATATCGGTGAAAAATTACGTCTGCATTGACAATGGAAATCAACATAATGAAAATTCAGACCACATTCTTCATCATTTTTACAAAATCCATTCAATATAGGGTAACAAAAATTCGTGGAGGATGCAAAATGATTTTTCTTTACAAACGCATTTAATTCTCATTAAAATAATGCATAATTGTTATTAACTATTAGATAGTACAATAATACCTTCTACTAAACACTTAAAAATATTTTTATTTGAATATATACTCGTTTGCACAACAAAAGTTTTTATCGCATATATTTCACTCCAAGATTGGGATTGCAATAAACACATATTACCATCAAAGTTGAAATGACAAAGTTTAAAATTTTACTTTTACTCAATATTATAATCTTCTCAATTGAAAATATGAATAACTTTTAATTAATTAACTTTAGAATACGAAATACACAAAGCAATGTAGTATATTTTTTCTTGATTTACTAAATTAACGCAAAAGACACAAAATGTATCTTGAAAAATATTTTGATAAGAAATGTTTTAAAAAATTTATATAAAAACGCTTTCACAATAAATCCATTAACTTTCTGATAAAATTTTTCGCTGATTAATTACACGAGATTCAATGCCATTAAAATTTTTTTTTCAAAAATAATAATTTAGAAATAATATAGAATTAAATAAAAAATTTTTTTTCATACGATATTTTATTCTACATTCTATATTATATATTCCATATTCTAAGTTTTTAATCACTTTTTGTAATATATTATTAGGTATCTGGCAACCCTTTTAGTACACATAAATTATTGGCGATAGCAACGTGAGTCGATTTGCATTGACACCGATAATCAATACAAATAGAATCTATAGCTTGGCACTGATCGTCTCGCCAACAATATCCACCTAAAATTGGTAAGCATGTTGAGTTATTGATGGCAATATTGTTGATACTACAAACGCATTTATTATTTGAACAATCTAAATGCCACCGATCACTACAATCGAGAATGCTACTGCAAGAGTATAGCTGGTGAGCTAAAAAAGAAAAGTAAATTGATAATGATCTAGTTTTTTACAATAAATATTGTATACTCACTCGATACGCATTGGTTAACAGAAATCGGTGAAAATGTAGGTTTGCATTGGCACTTAAAATCAACGCAATTGAAATTCAACCCACATTGTTCATCATACTTACAAAATCCATCCAATACAGGGTAACAATAATCCGCATTAGATGCAAAACTTTTTTCCTTACAAATGCATATGTTATTCAAAGAGCAGCGTGAATTTCGGAAATGCCAACAATCTTGATCTGCTTTACACGATCTAACTTGTATCGCTTGAATAGAAACAAAGATATTATTGGATAAATAAGAAAACAAAAATAATTTTATTTAGGACTGATAATAATTCTATTTGAATAAATAAATAACTCTTTACTTAGAACCCTTGCGTCTTCGTGTTCTTTGTAGTTCGTTTTATTACGTGGTGGACATTCATCTCCTTGCCGAATATATTGAATGTTGCAGTGACATTTTTCATCGATACAGAAAGAGTTTTTCGGTGCACATTGTTCTTTATCCGAGCATGAAACGTGTAATTTAGGAAGACATTTTCCATTTTTTTCAGAATAATTAACACCGCAGATACATATTTTGTTTAGACACAGCGAATTCTTGATTAATTTTTTGCAATATGAGTCATATTGACAAGTCATACCTATAAAAGCTGAATTGTGAAAGAAAAATTATAATATAAAACTTTTCATTTTACTTTGTTTATAAACTTACGTGTCGGACAGTCAATATCAGAATGAGACACATATTCCAATTTACATTGACATTCATTATTAACACAAACAGAATATTTTGAGCCACATTGATCACCATTCGTGCAAAATTTACCTGACCATGTAGCACACGCTGTTGTGTTTATTTCTACCTTATACTCAGTACAAGCAAAATCTCCATTTTTTAAATACTTTACATTCGTAAATAAGCGACAATTAAGGTGATGGTTGTAACAAGATCGAACAACTGATTCAACTGAATAAATTAACAAAAAACAATATTAATTTTTAACATAAATAAATTAAATAGTTACCCTATTAAAAAAAAAAAAAAAAAAAAAAAAACCGAATTAAAGGGTCTCATTCTAGTTCGTTACTTTTTAAAAAATTATTTTTTTTTACATTTTTCGAACGTACATATATATTAGGGTGGCCCAAGAAAACCGACTATTTAAATTTAAATTTTGAACTGAAACTTTCAGAAACTTATTTTTTTTGTCTATAAAATTATACCGTAACGAGAAAAAAAATTAAAGAAAAAAAAATTCGATTTTTAATGATTTTTGAAATTTAAAAAAATTTGGAGCGACCTCTTAAAAATTTTTTTTTGAGCTGTCCTCTGGAGAGAGCTCTTAAAACATAAAAAACTGACATTTTTTTACTCGAGACTAAAAAAAAAAAATAGTCGGTTTTTTTGGGCCACCCTAATATATATATGAAACACAATACTTTAAAGTATTGTGTTTCAAGTTCTAAATGATCGAACGTCTGTAACTATATTATTTTACAATGCTTAAGTAGAAGAAAATCAAAATTTTGAAAAGGCTGAAGGGATTTTGTATGGAGCTGGCATCGCTAATTTACTTTAGGTAAGATATTTTTTTTTTTAATTAAAAAAACTTTAAACGCGTTTATCTCAGAACTATGTTTTTTAAGCTTACTTAGAACACATTGTTTGTCAGCGATATTTAAAAATTTAGGTTCACATTCACAGTGACCATCATCGCAAATAGAATTAGGAATACGGCATTGTTTATTAACTCTACAAACTTTTTTCAATTGAAGTACACATGTTCCTTTTTTGATTTCAAAAAATCCGTCTCTACAAATACATTTTCTATCACTTGAGCATACTGAAAACCACATTTGATCACAATCAGCATCAGTATCACAATAATTAATCCCAATTACTATAAATGAAAATAATAGTATGTCATACACAAAATTTATTATTAAAATAAGCTTTCATATAAATTCATATTATACCTGGTATACATTTTGATCCTTGAACTTTAAATTGTGGCTTACATTGACATTTATCATCAACACAAATAGAATTTTCATCATTACATAGTTCATCATTCAAACATGATCTTTCCCATTCAGGTTTACAAAATCCATCTTTTCTTTGAAAGTGATTATATTCACACGTACATACTTTATCCGGGGAGCATTTCGTTTTATCCATGTAGATTCTACATTGTAAGTCATATTTACAAGGCATACCTAGATACACTACAAATAAAAAAGACAATAATTATAAATTATTATTAATAGGTAATAAAATAACTTACTTTGCGTGCAATTTCCAATAGAAGAAGAAAAATGTTTAGGTTTGCATTTGCATACATTTTCGATGCAAATAGAATAATCTACCTTGCAATCTTCATCCACTTGACAAGCTTCATTTAATAATGGGTAGCACAATCCCGGAGATAGCGCTACTGTGTTTTTGGCACAGACACAAACTTTTCTTTTTGAGCATTCCGCAAATTTTATTTCTCTACAATCTGTATCTTCCTGACATTCTTTACCAATAATTTCTATAAAAATGTAAAAGAAACAAACATTTCAATAAACCCTTAAAGAAAGAGTCGTATCTAACTAAACCTTATAAATTTGAATTCAACTTTATTTACTTGGTAGGCATTGCTTTTTGGAATATTCATAAAAAGAATCCTTACATCGGCATTCATTATTCAGACAGAAAGAATTTTCCGTCCCACACTCGCCATTTTTTAAACAATATTCACCTAATAACGGCACGCAATTATTTATATTTTTTTGTATGTGATTTAACATACAAACACATTTGTTATCACTCGAACATTTTGCGTGCCATACAGTCCCACAATCCTCATCAAATAGACAATTATCTCCCAATTTGGCTTAATTGATGACAAAAAAAAATTAATAATTATCATAATAGACTAAGGGCCAGTTTTTCAATCAGAGATAAAATTTTATCTTATGCCAATATATATATATCTATACATTTCATGTTTATAGATATACTGGCAATAATAATTTTATCCTGGATAAAATTTTATCTTGGATTGAAAAACTGGCCCTAAAAGGATTTTTGATAAGTAAGTTGAGGAAATGAATTGAATCTACGTTTATTATTCAGGAAATATCATAATACTGAAATTAGAAGACATCTGTTAATTTTTTGGATTTTTATAACAACTAAATTGAAATAAAAAAATTTAAAAAAAATTACAAGTGCAAATTTTTTAACTTCCCGCTAAGAAAATTGAAAATTTTCCTATAAAGAGAAGTTATTGATTTTGGCCCGATTTTCGAAAGTCGAGTTTTCATTGGATCTCCACGTTTTAAGGTCCTAGGAACAAAAGCCATTCTGACTATTCCCGCCGAGATGTCCGGCCGCGCGCGCGCGCGTGTGTGTGTGTGTGTGTAAATAAATTTTTGTCGTACGATTTCTCAAAAACGAATCAACCGACTGAATTCTACGACACGTCATTCGAAAGGGTTTATCAAAACTTAGATCTGATTAGATTTGAGAGTTAATAATCCATCGAGCCATTCCAATAAAGAAATTAAAAAAAAATTTGAATTTTTATGTTTTTTAAAAATAACTTTAAAGCGTGCGAAAAAATCATAATAAAACCATTTATATATTTTTTGTGCTTAAAAAACCGCGTCGAATGCTTTTTAAAAATAAAAATCGAACCACGCATTCAAAAGTTATATGGTAAAAGACCCCATTAGTGGCGGAGACCCCATTACTGACACTTTCTTTGATTTTGGTACTTATTCAATTAATTAAATCATTAATTTCAATAATGAATATATTATTTCTAATCTTTAAGACCTTTACATCAAAAAAATTTTTCATTTTTATTCCAAGTAGAACATTTTTTCATTGAAAGAAAAAGTGCCACTAATGGGGGTTAAAGGTGCCACTAATGGGGTCTTTTACCTTAGTTGCGTTCAAAAATTCACAAAATTTTGTTTTTCGGTATTTTTTTAAGATATCTTCGAGATTTCTCAACCAATCAATATAAACTTATATAAGTTTTCTTTTTGTGCTTTGAACACTGCGTGATATGCTTTTTTAAAAATGAAAATTTAACGATGCATTCAAAAGTTATAGTTGTTTAATAAATATATTTTGAGCTCTTCGAGCTCAAATATTAACCAAAAAACGCATTTTAAGGCGCTTCGAATTTAAACTTAGCGGAAAGTTCTAGGGTTGGCCTGCGCGGTCAACCGATT